GTTCTAACTTGATTATCAAATAATTTTTATTTTTACACTATTACAGAAGTGCATTTCTCTAGGTTTCCAAAACCACCTTATTCAACCTTCCCCATCTGTCACCATCTGCTTCTTTTTAGCATGTACTTTTTGTGTGATCACATAAGCATGTGAAAAATAACTAACATTCAGATGATTATCTGCTGGTACATTTGAGGACTGGGCATAATAAAAGTGAACTGCCAAAACGCACTTAACACTTTTAATTTTGTTGGGTCTTGCATGTAAGCTACATTTGATTTTCAAACTGTTTTACAGTTGGAAAGTTGATCAGGTACTGCTAACTCAAGAGCAAAGCTGAGACTCTAAATAATTAGCACTGCATAAAATGGTTTGGATTCAATAGGAGCCAAATCAAATAATAAAATTTAACAGTAAGAGTTTATATGTGATTTCTAATTTCTTTTATAATTTCTAGGTGTGAAAATACAGCATAGATTATAAAAACAAAATCTCATGGCCTATAATTTACTATATGTCAAGTTTATTTCCTTCTAATGTACAAAAGAGCAAAAGTACATTCATTTAAAACTATACGTGCAAATGCAGTTTAAGACATGCAGCACACTAAATGCATAGTGTATATGCCAGCGAGTACTGAACCTCTATAACCTGTTAAAAATACAACACAAAACAAAAAGCAGCCCGTTCTCCATTAACAATATTGTTAAATGCTTCCCAAGTTGGAAAACTGCATTGTAAGCTGCATTCTTCATCAAAAGGGGTAAGAGAACAAATGCCTTAAAAATACTTTTTTCAACAAATGGCATATTTAGAAGTTTTATCTTTTCCTAATTTGTCACAAGAAACAAATTAAATTCACTTAAGCTTATTTTAAAACCTGCCATGAATCTGACTTTGGGCATGTAATAAACTGGCTTTAAACTGATTTCTAACACTCTTGGTGAAGCATGTTCAAAATGCCCTTCACCTGTCTTTCTACCAGATTAAAACAACGTGAAAGGTGAAGGAACAATATTGCTAGAAGATGTATAGGTTGCAGCAGGATTCCTGCATAATATGCAAGCAAGTCTTCTGCAAAAAAAACAGAAGGGAAAATGTTGACAGTGAGTCATTCACAAGGGAAGTAGCAGTCAAGAATGTATTACAGATTTGATACACAACTACTTCTTCTAGTACTATTATGAAAAGTCCAGCAGTAATAATGGTCACGTACTAGAAATTTCAAGGTCCAAAAAAAGTGAGACATACCATCTTAGGTAAAAGGAAGAGGCTGGCCTCAGCTCCTGCCAATCCCTCCCTAACACTGACCATGTAAATCTGATCACAGTATTGCCTTGCTCTAAATTTACAAGTGATTCTCCCTTAACCACAGGATCAAATATAAAACTCAGTTACATTTCAATCCCTATCTATGTGTCCAGTCTCCTCTCTTCCTGCTTCCCCTTTTTCACTGCCGGTCCCTCCCTGCAGGCTTAAGCACGTTTCCCTTTCCTTCCACTCCACTGTATGTAACTAGTAAAGCAGTTATTTTCTCGCACAGAAATAACTGTTTTCCATATCTTATCACCTTAGTAAACAGCAAACCACTTGAAAATAAAAAACATTTCCTACCGTCATTGTATTCCCAGTACCTAACATAATGCCTGATACTTAATAAATATTCAATAAATAGTTCCTTAATGAATGAATGAGTGTTCTGTAGTAAAATGGTCCACACTGAAGACCAGAATAAAGGAATTAATTCTTATGTTTAAGTAAGGGTAAACACAAAGTTTAAAAAATACAATATGCAACACAACATTTAAAATATAAAAGTTAAAGCTTCATAACAAGTTAGTTGTTTCAAGATTTCTTATAGTCAAATAACAAAAACAATAGTCACTCTTCCCTATAAAAATATGGTGCTGAGATTTTAATTATGAATCAACCTGTATCAACCAAGGATGGGCATATAAACTGTTTTTAAAAACCAGACTTTTAGAACATTGAAGTATGCAGAAATGTTTTCTTGTCTATAAAGAGAAATTGATAATTTTGTGGGAACTGTAAACTTTCCATTCAGAAACAAGTGGACTCTTCTTGCATTAAATTCTTAATTTGTTTTTCAGTGGACGACACTGCATAGGAAATACCTTTGTTTCTCAGATCATCTGCTTCTTAAATGAGATGTATTCCATCTTCTTCAGCAATAATTTACCCTAATTGTGACACAACTAATTTTGTTATTCTAAATATGACATATCCTCTTCCATGGCAAATGTACAGCAGGGGTAACTGAACTCCAGAGAAACAAATAATTTTTCATTACATTTATAATAAAAATTTTATTCCAGAAAACACTGTATTTGAATAAACAAGAAATAGACTAAAGTTTTACCTAATTCAACCACAAAAATAGAGAATGCCAAACCACAGAATTTTAAAGAGAGAAAATGATATTTTTGGCAAAAAAATAACAATAGGAAATTTATATTTTAAACAGTAGCACTTATTTACAGTAACTTAACATTGTTGAAATGTAAATTTAATCCCTAGTTGAAAAGAACTATTAGACTAGACCAGCATGATTACTATATGTATAAGGAAAGCTGGTTATCACTGGGGATTTATTTTACTTCCTCATTTCTTTTGATTATCTTTTCCTGTTGGACATTTACAAAGCATTCATTTAAAAATTATGATTATTTATATCTGTAAGTGGTCTTCGAATTACGAGTTTTGAGGCTGGAACGTACGTAGTTTAAAAAATAAAAGTGGGCTTCATAGTCAGATAAACTAATTAGAATCTTCATTACACTTCTACCATCTCCTAGTTGTGTACAGAACACACTTAAACATTTTGATCTTATGTTCCCTCACCTTTAAAAAAAATTCTATTTGCTATCAATCATCAAAGACTATTCCAAATGTTAAATGAAATGATAGATGTAATGCATCTACACAGCATGTGGCACACAGTAGGTGCTCATTAAATAGTATCCCTCACCCATCAAATATTAACACCTCCCTATTTGGCTACAGCCACACTAACTATATTGGAGTTTAAGGGGAAATGGGGCACCAGCTGCTCTCTTTGGAAAGCTCTTCCCCTGTACCTTTGCAATAGGTACCATCTCTTTCCATCAACCATCATTTTCCCTGAACATCCTATCTGTGAAAGATGTTATTTTCCAAAGACGGCTGTGGTAGTATCTCCCATCTCACATGCTCTTCTGCTATGTAAAGGTGGGGTCCTCTGTCTAGACCACTTAAACCTATGCAGGCTTACAAGTGCTTTAGAAAGGAAGGGTATGACAGAAATGATGTGTGATTTCTGAAAATAGGCCATAAGAGGAGATGCATAAACAAATGCTCATAGCAGCATTATTCATGATAGCCAAAAAATGGATGCACCCCAAATGTACATCAGCTGCTGAACAAATAAACAAAATGTGGTATATCCATACAATGGAATATCATCCAGCCATAAAAAGGATTGCAGTAACAATAACATGCTAAACCAGAGAGCAACACTGAAAATGATGCTGAGTGAAAGAAGTCAGCCACAGAAGACTCCATACTGTATGACCTCATTTGTATGAAATGCCTACAATAGGTAAATCTATAGATACAAAAAGTAGATCAGTGGTTGCCTGTGGCGGAAGGAAGAATGAGGAGTTAACAGGCATGGGGTTTTTGCTGGAGTGATGAAAATATTCTGGAATTAGACAGCAATGATAGGTGTACAACTCTGTGAACATACTAAAAATCACCAAAGTGCACACTTTAAAAGAGTAAGTTTCATGGTATATGAATTGTACTCCCATTATAAAAAATATCTGTGAAATCAAGTTTTTAAGAAGTTAGTACTCTTGATGGTTTACTCGTTGGAAACAAAGGAACCATACAGTTTCTAGCCCGTTCCCTAGGACATCTGCTTTTCGAGCTCAAATGAAAGAAGTCTGACTACAATGAAATTGTCATTATGAGGAAGGCCAGACCACATAGAGAAAAGGGCTACATAGAAGTGCTCCTGCCAACAGCCCAAATAAGGCACCAATGGACAGCCAGCAGAACTGTCTTGACATATGGGTGAAGGTGCTTCTGGATGGCTCCAGCCTCCAGCCACAGAATCATGCTTTCACTATAAAGTCTTTTAAGACTAGCCCTCATACGCAGTGGAGCATAAATTAGCTATCCTTGCTGTCCCCATCTGCGTTCCGGATTCAGAAAATCCACTATTTTATATAAATGGTTTTTTCCACTGCTAAGAATTAGGGTGGTTTGTTATACAGCATTAGTAACTGGAACACCATCTACAACAGCCACGTCGCACCCTTACATTTAATTATTTTTCTCTTCCATTTATGGAACTTAAGACATTACGTCATTCATTCATTCATTCATTCATTCATTCATTCATTCATTTTGTCTATCTCCCTCCACTGAAAGTTAAGTTCCCTCAGAGTAGGGTCCTTTTCTCTCTTGCTCCTGTAACTACCTGAGATAGAGCAGATACACAATAAATATTTGCTGAACAAACAAATTAATAAATTATTGTGGAACCCTTAGCACACGGAGGTTGCCAGTTCTGAGCTTCCTTTGACATAAATACCAAATGTAGTGACTGCCATTCCAGTAACTTTCCCAATAAAATAATTTTTACACAATAGTATAAATTAAAAATCACTGCTTGTTTCTAAGGAAAGTCCAAGATGGTTTACAAAAATATAAATATTCTTGCTGAAATCAAATATTCTATTATAATAAATGAATCAAAATCGATATAGCCAAGATAAAACAGATACGGCCAAGAAATAAAAATTGACTTTAATCTACTTTCAGTATATACTTGAACCTATAATACCCCATTATAACAAGAACAAAAAAATTCTGATTCAGGTTGAAATACAGATAAAAGTAGTAGGTACTACAGTTAATTTTTAATGCTTAAATGGTTTAATTTGCAAAAAAATTATGTCAATGTTATTTTTCCTATTAATGGAACCAAAGCCTACCTCTGGTGCCAGATATTCTGGTGTACCACAGAATGTCTTCATGGTGGCTGCATCTGTGATCCCTTCTTTGCAAAGTCCGAAATCTGTAATTTTTATATGGCCATCTTTATCCAGCATTAGATTCTCCAACTGTGTATTAAGAAAAAATGACATAATTTGTTCTATAGTCTTCAACAGGAAAACACCGTTTGGAAAAATTACTGAACGCTGAGTAAAGTGTTTCAGAAACAGGACATAGTTGTAGCTGACAGAACTTCCAGTACTTACAAACCCTGTTGCTTCATGTGTAAAAAGGAACATGTTTTATCAAATACTTCAGAATGATAACATTAATCTGTTTTTAAACCAATGAAAATGAATTATATGGCTTTAAGAGTCATTACTGTGTAAGTTCTGAAAATTATAAAGCCTAATCAACTTTTCAAAGCAGACATCAATCCTCTCTTTTTAAAAAAAAAAGTAAATGTGATCTAAACAATCCCAAAGAAATGAGTATCTTCTTCTAGATATATACAGATGGTTTTCAAAAATTTCTCTTGGGAATCTATTGCTATGATAAAATATTCACTTACAGAAATGTGTTTTGGTGGTGCTTGTAAATCAAACCTAAATCTTATTTTGTAAGGTAAGGCGATATCCTCTTTTGCAGTTCTTTGTAATAAAGAAATACCAACCCTTTTAAACATAAAAAGAAAAAGAATATCGAAGTCAAACATTCAACAGTTAATAAAAATATATAGCATAAATGTTATAAAGTTGGAGTCTCTTTGAACCTATTAAATCAAAACACCAAAGAAAATCTTAAAGGTTTAACCAAGGTTTAACAGGAACATGTGCCTCAGGTGAAAATTATGAAATGTAAGTGGGGAGAAATTTGTACAAAGGCAGCACAATCAGAAATAACATTGTAACTAGCCAGTTCCCCTCGGGCTAATTTGAACCTAAGATTATGATTATCATCACACAGTTGCAGATGAGTTCTGAGTTGTGATAGTACAGCCTTATGTAGTCAGGGCCCATAAAACTTTGCCTAGTCATGTAGATACAACCTGAAGGTACTTCTTTTGTCATACAGAAAAAATATACAAAATGTGAAAAATCTATTAGCAGGATAAATGAGAGTTAACTTTTAGAGAATAGAGTATTCTCCTCCTTAATGTGAGGACATTTGAAAGAACGTACTTGGACTCTGCAGTTAATATCGAATTTAAAACAGACCTCCACTTAAGAACATAAACAAATATCAGTCATACAAAATATGACATCATACTCTCTGCCACATTGTCAAATGTCTTATAAACCAGACCTAAATACAGTTAGGCAAGCTGTGTCACTGAAGCAAAGATCAGAATAGACAAAACTCCTTTTTTACAGTATTTCCATGTGCTAAATAGCTAAACCAAATGCTTGATATACATTTCATGTATAGCATCTCTCACAGTAGTAAATCTGGCTTCCATTTTTTTCCACAGAAAGCTGAATGAACCCTAAATATACTGCTGAACCTGTTAAAAAAAATTTTTTTTTGAGACAGAGTCTCACTCTGTCACCCAAACTGGAGTGCAGTTGTGTGATGCCAGCTCACTGCAACCTCTGCCTCCCAGGTTAAAGCCACCCCAGCCTCCTGAATGCCTGGGACCATGGGAACATACCAATATGCCTGACTAATCTCTTGGTTTTTTACGGTGATGAGGTCTCACTTTGTTGCCCAGGTTGGTCTCAACCTTCTGAATTCAAGCACCTCAACTTCCCAAAGTCTGGGATTACAGGCCTGAGCCACTATGCCCAACCAAATTAAAATTTTTTATTTTATGCAAATTCAGTTATCTTGCGTCTTCCTAATGTTTCTCTACCAACCAGAACCTAGAAATCAAGCCCAATTCGCACAAATGACAGTAAGTCTTGTATACTGAAACCAATCAGAAACATCAAGAGTCTTCATCTCTCCTGTTTTTTCTCTCCACCTTGGTCTGTCTCTTCTCAGCCTCTGGTTTCTCTCATTTTCCCACCCCTTTCAAACAACCTCTCTTCTTCCTCCTTCCCAATTTGCCATAACAAGAAACGTTAAGTATATACTAAAGCTTCTGTTGTTTTACTAAATAAAAATGTGTACGCCCTATTATTTAAAAAATGTTTAATACATAAATACATAAAATGCTGAAGATCTTTAATGAATACTTTTACTAATACATTGACAAATCTTGTAAAAATTTCAAATAATATATAATATTGAACAAAATGTGAATTTACTTTCTACACCATTCCATTCCCATCTAGTTTGGTGTGTAATGTGCCAATACTCCTCATATGCTTTGTATGCATGGGAAAGTCCTCGTGGAAACATGACAGACAGGATGCACTATTTCTCCATATTTTGACAAAGCTATTTTGGAAGTGGCTGGATAAAGAAGAATCAAAATGTATAAACACAGTTTTTTAATACCAAGCTCTGTGTGTGTGTGTGTGTGTGTGTGTGTGTGTGTGAATTCCTACTTACACCTAATTCTGTAATCTCATATCTCATCTCTGAACCTCAGATCATGGTTGTGGGATGAAGAATGAAATGAGATGCAAGGAGAGGTTTGGGTGAGGAATAGGCTGAGGGTGACCAACTCCTAGTTTGCTCAGAACTGAGGGGTTTCTCAGAATGCAGGACTTGTAAGTGCTATAACTGGGCAGTCCTGGGCAAACCAAGACAGTTACCCTACTTGTTTCATAAATTCGCTTTTTAAAAAATTACAGTGAGATAGTAAGAAATAATCCTAAAGATGTGTGGGGAGGTTGTGGCATGCAGAGATCACACGACTGTAATCCAGCCTGGATGACACAGTGAAACCCTGTGTCAAAAAAAATACAAAACACAAATATTTCTTTTTTTTTTTTTTTTTGAGACAGGGTCTCACTCTGTTGCCTAGGCTAGTGCAGAGGCACAATCATAGCTCACTGCAGCCTCAACTTCCCAGACTCAATTGATCCCTCCACCTCAGCCTCCTGGGTACACAGGTGCACACCACTACCACTCCCCACTAGTTTTTTGTTTCTTTCTTTTCTGTTTTTTTAAGAGATGATGTTTTGCCACATTGCCCAGGCTGATCCTGAACTCCTGGGTTCAGTCTGCCCACATCTGCCTCCCAAAGTGTTGGGATTACAAGCTTGAGCTACTGTGCCCGAGTAATGTCCAAATTCTTCTATCAATTATTTTGTCTTCTCTCATCATCCTAAAATGTCATTTTGTTGAGAATGAATGACTAAAACTTGTCCACCAAAAGTATAAAATAGAGATGCATTAGCTTTAAAAATGGTGTCCCCAGTCTAATCTCATATAAAGATAAACCAGGAGATAATTAAATGTCCAGTTCTATTATACAATAAATGATAATTTTACACGGGATGCATTAACAGAGTTTCTGTAAAATATAAGAACCATTAGTAAACTGATTGGTGAACCTGCAGAATGCACAGAAACACCTGTAATTCTTTTCAAAGCATATCAATGGCCTAGATATATCAATGATATCTGGAAATCACTGCCTTGGTTCATTTAACACTAACATAATTGGGTAGTATTTACATTATTTACAGTAGTCATACATTTTCAGAAATCTTTCTACTGTGTAAAGGAGGAAAAAAATATTTACGAATGATCTTTCTTTAGTCTTCTCTTCTAAATCACTTTATTCTTCTCTTTGTTAGACACACAATACAAAAACACAAATTGTCACTGACTGCTCAGGTACTCTGAATTTATGAAACTTTACATGCACTGTGTGATACTCACAGCCAATCTTAGTGTCCAAAATGGAGAGTAGGGCAGCATGCTTATGCTTAATGGATGAATTAACTAACAAAAGTAGTGAAGTCATATACGAAGTCATAAGAAGGACTGTATATTAAAAATCTGAGTAATGCTTACTATTTCTATCAGAGGGTTATCTAAAAGTTCATGCCTTTGAGAGAAAAAAAAAATTAGACATAATACCTCATAGAATTTCCATCCAAAAAAAGGCAACATTTTTCGCCCAGTTGAAGTGAACAGGCATCATTTGACAGAGGGTCTTGATTTAGTGTGTTTATGAAGAAATGGTAGATTTTAAAATTTTTCCTGTGCTTAGTGGGCACAAAATTATAACAACAATTACTTTTCCTCCTGTTCTTGCTAATGCCTAGAGTAAAACTAAACTTTAAAAATCCTAGCTGTCTTTGATACAATGCTTCCCAGCCTTTCACACTTCACAGTAAAATAAAGATTGAAAGTTGTAAGGCATACCAGGTTCACCGGACGATATACTTGAAACCAGAATTCACTGGCCTGGAGGCTTCTCTGAACACTTTGCAGGTCGAGGCATGGCTGTAACCTGTTTGTAGCGCTCAGTCTGAGAAGCTATGCTTTAATGTAGGCCAGACTAAAATATGTGAAAGTTTAAAAACATCATATATACGGTTCATTGTAATTAAATGACTGACATTGTGATTAAACAAAAGAATGAAAACAGCAGTTCCTAAGGGTTCTGACGACTACTGCAGCAATAGCAATTAATAATTCCTGTCACTCTTACACCACATTTTAGCCCAGATACAACCAACTCAGTTTTAGGCACCAAGACTCACTCAGGCCCATGAAGGCAGGAAGGAATTCCTACCCTGCACATTGCAGATTTAAGTTTATGGGCTTCAAGTGCCAAAATGTCAGAAACCAACCTGCAGAGACTGAATGACCATGGGATGAGGAAAGTGTGCTGAAATTCTGAAAGAAAAACGTTTCTTCACTTCAACCTCTTAATCCAGAAATGGACTCATAATATAAATAGTAGAGAGCCCAAATAGGTTGCCAGGCTATTTACAAATTTATTACGAAGAAGCAACATAGTCCACTATCAGTACAATTTAATATTAGAAGTGGAAGGGATTAAGAGCAACGGCTTAAGATTTCTATAAAGGAGGAAATCCAGAGTGACCGTCTGGTTAGAAGTGGGAGCTGGGGAATGTGTCTTGACACTAAGCAAGCAAAGCGAGCATGCTTTTCCCATCATCCAAACTGCATTTATTTGAGGTGAACATCAGGGAGCTGATGAGGACATGAAAGACTAGGTAAAACTCTTGGAAGCCACCCCTTCATGCCATTACTGAGTGTTAGAGAGTATCTAAATTTATTTGGTGCTTTCTCATATTGATAATGTAAATGGTTAAATATCCTCACATTAGGTAGAAAACAAAATTAGGTGTTTCAACAAATAGGATATAGCAACAATTTAGGTATTATTTTCTCACATAAACTAGTGAGAAATTAATTCTTAATGAATTCCAGTATCATTATATTCACCTTTGCAAATGTCCCTGTTCAGCCTACACAGTGCTTAGATGGCCATGGTCATTGAAAATACAGGTTGTATTTGTAAAATAAGAACTAAGCAGAAAAGAAGATTTTAACATATAATTTGCACTACTGAAGAAGTCTTTGAGGAGATTTCTTCAAATTTTTAGGCAATCAAGAAGCAAAAGCAGTTTTCCTTAGGTAATCACAAGGAATTTGGGTCATTAATCAAAATTAAAAACTTCATTATATGATGTGTATTCACAAATAAATGAATTTACTTTCTAAAGTACAACAAAGGTTTCAATAATTTTTCTGTTGCTATAAACACCAATTTATTAGGGAACAGGAACCGATAAAACGATCTAAAGTTAACCTGCACATAAAAGAAGGCTTTGCCTCCGTGCTAACGGAGACAGCGGCAAACAGGTATGGATCTACTTGAGAAGTGCTGCTACTGTAGGCAGAGCAATTGGATTTGCATTTGAACAAAGTCCGAGTTACTAGTAATGAGAACAGAGACAAATCTGAGACTGATCAAAGTGAGTACCTAAATCAGTTCGTGATGTTTTTAAATACAACTGGTATAAATATATTTGAAACACTCATTCCCTTATCTTTTGCAGTTTAATTTGAAGGTCAGACTTACAAAGATTTCCCAAAGTTAATCCAACGTATCCCCCAGCTATAATTTCATTTCATCTCTGGAAGTCAGAATGACACAGTGACAAGAACATTCAATAAAGATCTAGGATTCATGAGTTCCAAAAATTTTGACTGAAACCAACTTAGATGATTACTTTTAGGAAGCCATTTACTATGCTTCTAGGTTTGAAGGACACCACCTATAAATTAAGGAAGGGCTCAAGATTTCTGCGACCCTACCTCAAATATGTTATTGTATTGTATATAATCCTGTTACTATGGATACAAATAACATTTGTGTAAGTTTTGAATGTTTGGTTGCTTAAATGTCATGGATTTTTCTTGGTGTACATTTACAGTTCCTGTCCTATGCTAAATATATACTTAGATCTTTAAGGCTGTATTTTTTAAGAAATGAATTCCATGAGCAGAGACTACTTAATTGTCTAGTAAACTCAGTGAACTGTGTATGTGGTAACTGACTGACTGATGTTCATAGATAAAGTACAAACTTTATCTTGTAGTTTAACAAATTTATTCTAATTCCATCATCAGAAATAACGGGGCAGTGGAACTCACTTAATGAGCTTCAATATACCAATATGTTCATTCATTTGATGAGAAATTATTAAAGATTACTGACCAAGACCATATTCAACACTGCAATCAAATTAATTTTCTTCTCTTTAGCAGTTTTTAAGCTAAGAATTCAATCTTTTAAGTTTGCGCATTCTGGATGTTACCTATTACTTCAAAATCGTTCTGATTTCCTTAAATCTAAGCCTCCCTTTTTCTACCCTTCCCCTTTTTTCCTCCCTACAAATAGGATTCATAAAACATGAAGTGGGAATGTGAGAAGTGGAATCAGGAAGAGAAGACCTAATTACTTATAAGCATATTTGGAAAGTTAACACACATTTTGTCATGCCACATAACTAACTCCTTAAAAAGAATATTTAAGATATTTTGACAGCATAGGATTATTTGGCCATGCAGATATCAGATACACAAATCCTGAATTCTGCCACATTCCTAGTTATAAAAAGATTCAGGCTAAATACAAACTATTGATTTGTATTCATCTCTAGCCCATTTTGGCACTTAGTTGGTCATCTCTGATCTAGATGTTTCACAGGTGCGCAGTTCCGTTTTTCCTAAATACAGCATCTTATAGTTTCTTTTAAATTTTAATAAACAACATATTATACAAACACATATGTTTCACTGTTGTCTCAAATTATTTTGTGACAGTGGTTACTCCTTAGGATCATTATCTAAAGGTATATGAGAACATCTTGAAATAACTTAGACAACTGCTTACGTAGATAATTGAAGAATCACGTTTGAAATGGAGTGAGGGGATAATTATGATTTCTTTTGTATGTGATTTCACATATATATATATACACACACACACACACACACACACACACCTCATTTCAAACAAAACAGAAATTTCATAAAAAGCTTTATGTAACTTCTATTTCTACCAATCATTATGTTACATGCAACAGTATTTGATCAATAAGGCAATTCTGCATCAAATTTATATATATGTCAAGATTACTACATGATTTGCTTCTTTAACAAGTAAGATTGTAACATTTAGGCTTCATTCAATAAGTGTCATGGTACAAATTCCGTTAATGCAGCCAACCTAATTCCTAAGACTATCATGAGAATGACTATTACCTTGCACGAGCTACTCCAGGGATCAGCGAACTACAACCTGTGGACTAAACTGCGCCCACCGCCTATTTTGTTCGCTGGAACATAGCCAAACTTATTCATTTACATATTATCTGAGGCTGCTTTCATCCTCCAATGATGGAGTTGAGTAGTCGACAGCAAAGACTGTATGAACAGTGAAGCTTCAATTATTTTATCAGCCCTTTACCAATCCTGAGCTATCCTAAGGCTCTCATCATAACAGAACCTAGAGCAGTCAAGACACTATTACCAACAGAACAAACACAGTGCTTTCATAAATAAAAAACTAAGCAAATTAATCAATGGTGATTACATCAAATGATTCAGGTATTTAAACCCACCAAAAGTTAATGCTAAAACCAAAATGAGTATGTCTCTTCCGATAGTCTGTTTCTTCATAAAACATTATGAACATAATAAAACTTGTTTTAAATGTAACTTGTAAAGTCATGTGACTTAATCATATGTTTAACATTTCTATTTGATCAGAGTAGTTGAGCAGAAATTACTTTGAAAACCAAAAACTCAGAATAAAGCAACTTCATACATGCTAGTGAAGGAAATTTCCTTTTAAATGTAGAGAACTAAATTTTTAAACATAGTGTTTTTTCCAAGTAAATCTGCTTTTCTCAAAACTGTATAACTCTGTAATTGTTTTATGTTCGTCCCTATAGTCTCTGCAAAAACAAATTTTGATTACTTTTTTTTTTTTTTTTTTTACCTTAAGATCACGGTAAACAATCTTTCCGGAATGTAGATAGTCCAAGGCAGAGACAATTTCTGCACCATAGAAACGTGTGCGGTCCTCAGAGAACACCCGCTCTCTCGACAAATGGAAAAACAGCTGCAGGGTAAACAGCAGGGACAGGATTGTAATAATTACTGATTTAGTGGGGGAAATTAACACAAACATAAAACACCTCTCATCACCATATTGTGATGATAGATAGTGTACTCTCAGTGGACACTGAGCACTCTTAGACAGCAGCTGGCTTATCTTTTCCAGGTTTCCAAGGGGAAACTGCGAGCTGTTAAATCAGCGTTTTAATCAATATACCAATCTTGTTTAAGGCATTCTGCTTGCTACCCATTTAACCTTCAGTTACCAGAGAAAAAAAGTATGCATCATCAGACTGCAATTTCCCCCTCACTATACTGTTGCTTCACTCTTTCAAGGATTAGGTATTGAGGCATTACTAAAATAAATGAACACAAGCATAGATATATTTTCTACTTAATTATTTGACTTCAAAGAGAAGACTGCCAATTTGCTAAAACTGATTTATGTTAACTTGTTATATTCTACAATTTTTGATACATCATGGTATCTCTAAAAATACTTTCAAAATCAAAGTGATCATTTTTTTATGGTGAGATAAAGTTTTAAGTTTTTAATTTATTTTAGTAATGCCCAAAATGAACTGAGAAACACCCATTATTCCCATCGTAATTCTCAGTGTATATTCTATTTTCAGTAATAATTAGCTACGATGTCAATCTTTTCTTATATAGTCACTTAAAACTGTAAGGTCATCCATTTCCTAGGTAAACACTTAAAAGAGACAGCATTTGACAGTCACCAGCATTCACTGGTTCTTACTGTGACCAAGCAGCCAGCTCTCCAACAGGCAACCTTCTCATTACAGAAACAACAAATATTATCGCTCAACTGCACAGCATACATGAAGAAAGAGCAGGTTTCAGGCACTGTGAATCGACTATCAGAGTTGAAACATGCTTAGAACAATGAAAGATTATTTACAATGCTGAATATAATGCCAGGTATCATGGTATTGACACACAACACATCTGTGAAAAAAATGAACCGACCAGTCAACGTACCCTTCACTGCAAGATCAGAAATTACTCCTTTCCATGGATCATTGACCCTTAATGTTTCTACAAAATTGGTGAAAATTATGGTTAACTAAGATTTGTTCTGCACACACCAAATCATTATTTCAGGTAACATAAAACAGGCTCCCTATGAATTCATTCTTCCCCTTTCCTACCTCCACCTCTGCTTAACAGCATATTATGATTTTATGATAAGCTTTATGCATGCCCCACTGGCATACTAAACAGAGAGAGAGAAAAAATATCACCTATAGCCCCCAAAAAGTGTAGCACAACAATAATTATATTAAAACTAAAATATTTTGCAGTCTCTAAACTTTAATGCTTCCTAGTATATTACTGTGTTTTATCAAATCCCAGATGCTACCAATTGGGACTGCACCATCATTTTATAAAACACCAAGGAAAAAAAGGGTGTCAGGTAACACTATGATGCACGATCTATTATAAAAGGCATTCTGATTACAGAAATGTTAAATATGTCTTCCAAATAATCAAATATAGTATGTGAAAAATCAAATCATTTATATAATTACTCAGAGATATTTTTAAAAATTCATTCATTTTATATCGTCAATGTATTACCATCCTAACAAGGATAGAAAGTAGAAGGAGCCACATTTTCCAGGTTAAAATAATTTCTGCCACACAAAATATCACTAACTTCGATGAGAAAATCATGTGATCTCTGTGGAGTTGTGGTAGTCTTCTAATGAGATGAAAGTAGTGATTAGGTTTCTAAATTTCCTTAAAAGAATGTCAAGCCTACTCTATCCACTCATCTAACTTTACAAAAATATGGATCCTCCCTAAATCAATATAATGTATGCAGGATTCTAGATCTTTATTTAGACTACATATCTTCAATGTGTCTGCCAGCCAATTTCTATAAAAGTATCAGCAAAAAATTATATTTAAGGGAAAGAATTTACTTCTCAGTCTGCTATCTGATGTGTACCCTTACTTCTTTATGGAACTTATTCTTGTTAAGATAACCAACAACCTCTTAATCACCAAATCCAATAACCTATTTACAGTCTGCACTGCTTCTTCCAATTTTGAAGCTTAGGACATCACCTACTGCCCTCTTTATTGAAACACATTCCTTGGCTTTGGTAATATGACTCTCTCCTGATTTTCCTCCTAACTCTCTGGATAGTCCTTCTCGGTTTCTACTTTGGCACTGAACCACCTTTTCAATTCAGCATTCATTTAGTGAGTATCAATTATTTTAAAGTCACGTTGGGCATGGGAAAAAAAAAAGAGGGAATACAATGATGATTAAGACAGAATCTCTTATGTTTACAAGCATTGATTGTGGTAATGTTTTCATGAGTATGCACTGAAGTCCAAACTCATCAAGTTCTAACTATTAAATACTACAGCATTTTGTGTAACAATTGTAACTCCACAAAGGGGTCTAAGCCAAAGACAGAACTGCTGCCATGAAGCAGTATGAATGTAGAGGACACAGGCATTGATTTTTTTTTAAAAGACGGTTGTTATAAATTTAGTAACTCAGATATTAAAAATACTTTGAAGGCAAGGAGGGATTAATCTGTGCTGGCGTCATGTGAGGAGACTTGATAGATAAGATAATGCTTTACTTAAGTTTTGAAGAATCGGTTTTTCACAAAGAAAATGTAATCTACAAAAAAGTGCTACTCAAGTTTTATTCATTTGTATTTCCAACACAGCCTAGGCTAGTACCTGCACATAGTAAGTAATTAATAAACATTTAGACAGTATTAATACTAAGAAAGAAAAAGAGCCATGGCAAGAAAACACATGAAGGGAACACATGTAGCTGAAAAATAACATGCCTTCAGAGAAACAATAGAACGTCTGGAAAAAAAAGATGAGGTTCGACTGGCTAGGATCTTTACTACCTTGACATGAGCATGCCTTTTTTTTCTGTATATAAGAAGTATGAAAGAATTTTAGGTTAAAAATTAGCAAAATTTGGTTCCACATATGCAAATCAATGAAATAATTCATCACATAAACAGAAGTAAAAACAAAAACCACATGATTATCTCAACAAACACAGAAAAGGCCTTCAACAAAATTCAACATCCCTTCATGTTAAAAACTCTCAATAAACTAGGTATTGAGGAACATGTATCAAAATGATAAGAGTATTTATGACAAACCCAGAGCAAATATACTGAATGGGCAAAAGCTGGAAGCATTCTCCTTGAAAAACAACACAAGACAAGGATGCCCTCTCTCACCATTCCTACTCAATATAGTACTGGAAGTTCTGACCAGGGTAATCAGACAAGGGAAAAAAAATAGGTATTCGAACAGAAAGAGAGAAAGTCAAATTGTCTTTGTTTGCAGATGACAAGACCTTGTATCTCGAAAATCCCATCCTTTCAGCCCAAAAGCTTCTTAATCTGATAAGCAAATTCAGCAGAGTCTCCGGATATAAAATTAATGTGCAAAAGTCATAAGCATTCCTATATACCAACAACAGAGAGCCAAAACATGAATGAACTCCCATTCACAACTGCTACAAAGAAAATAAAATACCTAGAAATACAGCTAACAAGGGAAGTGAAGGAACTCTTCAAGGAGAACTACAAACCACTGCTCAAGGAAATAAGAGAGAAGACAGACAAACGGGAAAATATTCCAGGCTAATGAATAGGAAGAATGAATATTGTGAAAATGGCTATACCATCCAATGTAATTTATAGATTCAATACTATTCTCATTAAACTTCCATTGAAACTCTTCAAAGAATTAGAGAGAATTATTTTAAAATTCATATGGGGCCAAAAAAGAGCCCATCTAGCCACAATAATCCTAAGCAAAAAAAACAAAGCTAGAGTCATCACACTACCCAACTCCAAACTATGCTACAAGACTACAATAAGCAAAACAGTATGGTACTAGTACAAAAACAGACACACAGACCAATGGAATAAAATAGAGAACTCAGAAATAAGCCCACATATCTATAATCATTTGATTTTTAACAAACCTGACAAAAATAAGCAATAGGGAAGGACTCCCCATTCATTCATTTTGAGACAGTCTCACTCTGTCATTTATTATTTGTTTGTTTGTTTTGAGACAGAGTCTCACTCTGGCAACTAGGCTGGAGTGCAGTGGTATGATATCAGTTCAGGGCAACCTCCACCTCCCAAGGTCAAGTGATTCTCCTGTCTCAGACTCCTGAGTAGCTGGGATTACAGGCATGTGCTAGCACAAGGTGCTAATTTTTGTATTGTTAGTAGAGACAGAGTTTAATCATGTTGGCCATGCTGGTCTCAAACTCCTGACTTCAAGTGATCCACCCACCTCAGCCTCCCAAAGTGCTGGGACTGCAGGTGTGAGCCACCATGTTCAGCCAGGACTCCCTATTTAATAAATGGTGCTGGGAGAACTAGCTAGCCACATACAGAAAATTGAAACTGGACCCCTTCCTTATACCTTATATAAAAATTAACTCAAGACGGATTAAAGACATATAAAATCCCAAACTTTAAAAACCCTAGAATAAAATCTAGGTAATACCATTCAGGACGTAGGTACAAGCAAAGATTTCATGATGAAAATATCAAAAACAATTGCAACAAAAATCAGAAATCGGCAAGTTGGATCTAATTACACTAAAGAGCTTCTATCTAGCAAAAGAAACTATCATCAGAGTGAACAGACAGCCTACATAATGGGAGAAAATTTTTGCGACCTAGCCATCTGACAAAGGTTTAATATCCAGAGTCTACAAGCAACTTAAACAAATTTACAAGAAAAAAACAACCCCATTCAAAAGTGGGCAAATGATGTGAACAGACACATAAAATAAGACATTTATGTGCCCAACAAAAACATGAAAAAAAGCTCCACATCACTGATAGTTAGAGGATGCAAATCAAAACCACAATGAGATACCATCGCACACTAATCAGAATGGTGATTATTAAAAAGTCAAGAAACGACAGATGCTGGCAGGGCTACAGAGAGATAGGAATGCTT